GCTGAAGGAGACGCGCAAGGAGCACACGCTGCGGGCCGTGGAGCTGCTCTACTCCATCTTCTCCCTGGACATGCAGCAGGTGGCGCTGGTGCTGCTGGGCCACATCCTGCCTGGGCTGCTCACCGACTCCTCCAAGTGGCACAGCCTCATGGATCCCCCCGGCACCGCTCTCGCCAAGTAGGAGTCTCTGCAGAGCCTCAGGTCCCCAAGCCCTGAGTCAGGCGCCCTTCCCAGGGCCCCCCGGAACCCAAGCCGTGGGGAGGAACTGCCAGGTGGGGCCCAATCACCAAGAGCACAGAACCCCCCCTTTGGGGTCCCCCTGATTTCACCTCTTTTCCTGGAACCCTCTGCCAGGCTGGCCGTCTGGTGTGCCCTGAGCTCCTATTCTTCCCACAAGGGGCAGGCATCCTCCCGCCAAAAGAAGAGACACCGTGAAGACATCGAGGTAGGGGACTCCTCCGTTCGCTTGTTCACGTCCAGCAGACGTTCCTGAGCCTCTTCTGGCTGGGAGGTGTCCTGGGCAAAGGCAGGCAGGCAGGCCGCCTGCCCGGGGCAGCCTGATGGCCGCACGTCTGCAGCGGTGAGCGTGAGCGGCTCGCACCAGGATTGTCAGAGGGGTGAAGGCGGCCCCCCTGGGGATGCTGACCAGGGCCTGTGGGGCTTGGCCGTCTCCCACTCTGGTCTGAGCTCCAGACCTCCTGCCGGGTAACAGTGGGTTTCCCGCCCTCCAGGATTACATCAGCCTCTTCCCCTTGGACGACATGCAGCCCTCAAAGCTGATGCGACTCCTGAGCTCCAACGAGGAAGATGCCACCATCCTGTCCAGTCCCAGTGAGTGTGTGAGGAGGGGCTGGGAAGTCGCTCCTGCCTGGACTGCTCTGCACCCGTCCCCAGCGGCAGGCTTCTCTGCAGGCTGGTCAGGGAGGGTGGGCCGGGTGGGCCCCTCTTTGTCCCCTGTGGGCTGCTGAAGGTCTCTTCTGAGGGTTAAAGTCAACCCGGATGCAGTCCTAAGGGCACGGTGCTGCCCTTCCCCTCCCCTTACCACAAGGTGGAAGGAATGACATGCTCCCCCAGTGAGTTCACCGTCCTGGGCACAGTCTGCACCATTGACTCACCTGCTCTGACCTTCCTTCCCCTGAAACAGGCCCTGAGGTGTGGCGCAGGCAGGGCCGGGACTTGGGGCTGCTCCTCACTCTTCCTGTCTGGAGGGCACCCCTCCCCCCCCAGCCTGCCCCAGATGTCATTACCTCTCCCTGCCAAGGGCTCCTGCGGCATTGAAGTTTTCCTGTTTCTAGAGATTTCTCCTGAGCCCGGACATTTCTTTTAGGGACTAGGGAACCAGCTCTGCGCGTGGGCAGGGGACAGATGCTGGGTCCGCCACCTACAAACCCAGTGACCGTTGGCTAGTTTACCTGGCACTTCCGAACCTTGGTTTCTTTGTCTGTGAAATGGGGGCGTGAGGGTTAAGCAGCCTAGTCCCTGTCTGCACAGCTCGCAGATGGGCGCCCGGCGCCTGGTGATGCTCACCGATGAGTTCTTCCGTCTCATCTCCTTACGGGGCCCTCTGGGACTCTGGCTCCCGGGACCTCCTCGGGGCGGGCCCTGCACACCTGGAGGGGGAGGGCTTCCCCGGGAAAGGAGGTTTAGACCCAGGAGGCCTTCCCCACTGTGTCCCCTCCATTCGCCCCACAGCCGACCGGTCCATGAGCAGCTCCTTGTCGGCCTCCCAGCTCCACACGGTCAACATGCGGGACCCGCTGAACCGCGTCCTGGGTGAGTCCCCCCACCCCGCTCCTGAAACAGGGCTCAGCCCCCATCAGCTGGAAGGGGGCCTCTTGGTGCCCCGCCCCTGCTGCCGCATTCCTCCACCTGTGCCCATCTCCCCGGCTTGCTAGGGCCTCCCCCAGGGAATGTACAGTCTCTTCTGACTCGCCCCCAATTTTCCTTTTATGTTTCCTTTTTCTCACCCCCTCTTTGGGGGGCACTCTTAGCACTGCCTTCTCTTGCCTTCTCAGCCCCTCCTCCTCCCAGAGCCTGACCTGTTCCCATGACCTCCTTTCTCATGGAGCCCTTCCTGTTCTATCCCGCCCCGCCCCGCCCCGCACAGCCAACCTGTTCCTGCTCATCTCCTCCATCCTGGGCTCGCGGACCGCCGGCCCGCACACGCAGTTCGTGCAGTGGTTCATGGAGGAGTGCGTGGACTGCCTGGAGCAGGGCAGCCGCGGCAGCATCCTGCAGTTCATGCCCTTCACCACCGTGAGTGCCGCCTGCCATCCGGGGAGGGAGTCCGGTGGTGAGTCCTCAGGGTGGGAGGGGGGGCTCCTTCTTCCCAAGACGCCACGCCCTCCACAGGGTAGCCTCAGTGCGTAGCTGTCTGTCTGTCTCTGTCTGTGGCAGGTGTCAGAACTGGTGAAGGTGTCGGCCATGTCCAGCCCCAAGGTGGTGCTGGCCATCACGGACCTCAGCCTGCCTCTGGGCCGCCAGGTGGCTGCCAAAGCCATCGCCGCCCTCTGAGGGGCCCCGAAGGGAGGGCCCCAGCCCCGGGTTCCTCGAAAGGAGCAGTGAGGACAGATGAGGCATCGTTGCTCACACCCCATGATGTAAGAGCCCTTGTTAGTCTCCAGGTCCTTCTCCGGTCCCTGGCTGCTGGCCGTTAGGATGTCTCCCCACTCCTCCTTTCGTAACTTCCTCTCCCGCTGCCACTGCCTGAATAGCGGGAGCAGCCTGGTCCCTCAGCTCAGGCCCGTGTCAGCGCGCCACCGCCCTCCTGGCACCCCGAGGGGCTGTATGGGTGCGGAGCGTGTATATGTGTGTATATGTACATTAAAAGTTTTTTCATAATGCAAGAGGGAAGTGCACCTCAGCTCACTTGTTAATAAAGGTCCTTGTGGACTCCTTTGTAAGTGGTGTCGGGGCCTCTGTGACGGGTGGGAACGGGGTCCTCTGCTCGCAGCCCCCTTTGCCGTGGCCCTGGGCCAGGCTCCTCCTGGGCTGGAGGCGGGAGGGGCGGTGTGCGGAGAGGGGCTGGCCTCGCCCGTGCGGGTGTACTCAGTTGGGTGTGGGGAGGGGGCAGTGGGAGCAGCTTCCCTCCCTCAGACTCACGCTGGGGGGCAGTGAGTCACCGCTGGCCTGCTGCCTGCGCCCACCCCAAAGTCAGACTCACGCTGCAAAGGGTGAGGTTTTGGCTAAAGGGCCCGCTGGCGCTGGGGGAGCGTGTCCTGTCTGATGCTCCCAGCCCAGCCCCGCCCCACCCAGAGTCTGATGAGCCCGAGTCCATCTGCCCCAGGAGGACACTGGTGGAGTGCGTGGCAGGGGCTCTGTCCCGCCCGCACGGCCTGCTCTGCACATCCCCACGCCCAGCTTCCTCGGGCTGACCCAAGAGGGCGAAGGACCCTGAGCCACACAGCTGGGAGGTCCGGCCTGGCTGGGCCAGACCCTGCTTTCCAAGGAGCCGCGTGCAGCGGGGAGCTGGGGAGTGATGAGGGTGGGGAAGCCTAGGGAGGGGGAACTGGGGACTCCCTGGCCGTCTGGACTGCCCCCGGTCTGGTGGAGGCACCGTGAGCTGAGCGCACAGAGGCGCACCCCAAGCCTGTGGTGGGAAGCAGCCCCTCCATCTCGGGGTCTCCCCCACCCATGCTGTGAGCTCAGCCTTTTCAGCCCCAGCTGAGACAGGCTGGCCGGCACGAGGCCACTCCCTGCCGGTCCGAGGCAGAGCCTGGAATTCGAGTTCCGGCTCCAGTTGTCACCTGGACTCGGCTTCCTTATCTGCACGAGTCACATCTAAATTCCGCCTCTGTGGGCGCTGGTGAGCGCGGGTGGGCTGGAATTCACGGGAGACCCCAAACTGAGCAGCCTGCTCGGACACGCACCGCATCTGGGCTGTCACGGCTCTCGCCCAGCCCCACACCCTGCTGTCCCTGCACCAGTGACCCACGCGCCTCCTGTCCCCTGCCCAGTGCACTGCGGTGTCCTGAGCACTGGCCCAGAGTCTGCCCAGCATCTGCGCAGAGTAGGAGCGAGATCAACAGGGGCAGAGGAGTGCACCCTTGCTCCCCGCACCTCCTCTCCCCGCCCTCGGCCCTTGACCGCCATTCACCTCCCTGCCCCCCAACACCTGGCAGGCACCAGCTGGACTCAAGAAGGAGGAAAGACATGTGCTGGAGGCAAATACTTTATTAATATGGAGTTTGGCTACAGTAGAAAGTGGGGGCCAAGGCAGAGGGTGAATGATTGAGCTTCCCTCTCACACACCCACCACACAATCCCCCCTTAGCTCTTCCCACCCAAGCTCCCCGCCCCCACCCACACGCAGACACGCCCTCCGCCCAGCCCTGCAAGGAGTCAGAGTGCTGACCCTGTGGGGTGGGGCGGGGCGGGGCGGGAGGCACAAGCCTAGGGGTGTCCACAGTGCATCCAGAAAAAGGAGAGATACCCCACGGGTGTCAAAATGTGCCCCCCAAATATTGAGAAAAATTAGTGTTCCCAACAATTTTCTCGTGGGACTCCAGGGTCACGCTTCCCAGCTCTGGCTGCCTGTGCTGGGCTGCAGGCCCGTGGGGGCAGGGGCACGTGAGGGGAAGCAAGCTGGCAGTGACAGGCCGAGCCGCGGCCAGAGCTGGGCGCGTGCGAGGACCCAGCCGGGGAACACTGCTGTTTAAATATTAAACAGACTGTCTCATCTCCCACTCGGGAGATTTCCAGATGCTGCCAAGGGCCCCACGTTGGGGACCCTCGGGGTTGGGGGTTCACTGCAGCTCTTCCAGTGCCCGCCACGGTTGTAGGAACTAATACTTGGTATTTACCTATCCACCTCCCCGTCCAGAGGACAGGAAGACAGGGGCTTTCTCTCTGCCACGGCAGGAGAGTGACGCAGGGAGGTGGAAGGACGGACCCAGGAGTCTGGGATTCCTTTCCACTCTTCCCTATCTTTAAATATTACGTTTAAATAAACATAAATATTAAATAGAGATAAATACATTGGATGCCGAGTCCTAGGATGCTCAGGACTCGGCAAGGTGGCGCAGGACGCGGTAGGCCGCCTCCAGGAAGCTCTGCAGGTTGGCGGCCACGAGGACCCCTCCCGCCCGGCGCTGGAAGGCCGAGGTGAAGACGGGTGCGGGGCCCGGGGTGGCCTGCAAGGCAGGGGCCATCCTCAGGTCTTCCATCTGTGGAGGAAAGACAGGATCCGCAATGAGGCCCCGCCCAGTGGGCGTGGTCACCACAGGCGAGGCGCTGAAAAGGGCTGATGAGCTGTGGAAAGCCACGTGGTTGGCGTGGTTGCGGTGGTTAACGACGGAATCGGGACCGAACCCAGGTGTGTTTCAAGGTCCAGTGATCCAGCTCCTGCCCTCAACTAGGGGGAGTGTGGGAGGGCCAGCAGCAGGAGGGTCCTGGGATGGGTGGTAGCTCCCTAATGCAGCCTGACACCCAGTGCTCCCACCAACCCCTAAAGAACTTGCAGGACCCCCTAGGCTTCCCGCATAACCTGTAGGGGCCAGCTTGGGCCGGGCCCTTAACGGGCCTCTTCCGCTCCAGGCTCACCTGCTGCCGGATGTTGGTGGCAAAGTCCGTGATGTCCAGCTGCAGCGTGTCCAAGGTGGGTGCCACCTCTGGGGAGATTCCCGCCAGGGCCTGCAGGAGGCCCTGGTAGAGGGAGAAGCCATCGTGGAGCTGTTTCAGGCAGCCCGTCTGGGGGAGAGGGAGCAGGAGAGTCAGGGGTGCTGCCTGAGATGCTCCCCTCCGGCCTCAGCTTGGAGCCTGGGGGTGAGGGGTGAGTCCCCCCAGATGATCCCTCCGTGTCCCTCCCGACCACTCACTCACCAGCTGCAGGGCCTGGCTGGAGCAGCTGCTCAGGGGAGCCTGGGGGATGCCCAGGAAGTGCCTGAGCAGCACCAGCTCCTCAGGGTGGCACAGCTTGTGGGTGTCACACTGTGGACGAGAAGGATGCTGAGTGCTGGGGACGCGACAGGGCCAGCCCGTCCTCTCCATCTCTCCGGGGTCTGTCCCCGCCTCCGTGTCCTGCCAGGCCCCTCAGCCCCATTCCCTCCCAGCACTGTCCCCCAGAGGTTCTCTTCCCTGAGCTTCTCCCCAGCCTTTCAGGGCTCCTCTGCTCCTCACCTACCTTCTTCCATCTCCCCGCGCCTCCCCCTCCCACGCTCCTTCCTGATGACTCCTCCACACTGCCCTTCTCCCTCAGCGCTCCCTTCTGGGTCCTCTTTCCTCTGCACCCTCTCAGCAGCATCCCTGACCCCTCCCTGCCTTTCTGCCAGCCCCTGTCACTCACCAGCCTCTCCTGCACGACCACAACATCAGCCTGGACCTTCCTCACTTGCTCCAAGCACTTGAGCAGGAAGCTCTGGGGCAGGTTGCTGGCAGGGCGCAGGGGAGTGGCTTCTTGCACAGCCCAAAGTGCACTGTACCAGAGCAGCAGCTGCAGGGCTGGGGACAGACCAGGGGGCTCAGGAGACATGCTCTCTGCTCCCACCTAGGTCCCGTTCTGGGGGCTTAGGGACCCCTAGCTACTTGACCACTCTAGCCTCCCTCCCATGCCCTGGGCGGGCAGCCAGCTCCTGGATCCTGGGCAGGGCCACTCACCCATCAGCTTCATGGGGCTCTCTGGTTAGCAGGCTCAGCAGGGTCTGGGTAGGTCTGCAGGCTCGGGGCTCTGTCAGGGGCCAGCTCTGCAGGGCCTTTATACATAAGCCCATGGAGGCCCGGGAGGAAATTACCTGGTACTGAGACTAAGGCTTAGTAATAACTTCCTAGGATTTATGCAAATTTGTTGTCCAGGACAATTCGGGGGGAGCGGGTTGAGACAAAAAGCTGTTTGCGAAAGTTTTGTGAAATTGTGGAATCTCTGATTCTTCTTTGACGTCGTGTCCCCCTCAAACTCTCTTCCTCCCCTTAGCCCCACCCTGGCCTGATTTGCCCCAGGGTGTTTGAACGGAACCTCAGAACAAAGGCTGAGCTGCTGATAACAGCGTTGTAGGCTGGAGCCGGGTCAGACGGCTTGGGGAGGAGAGGCAGACCTCCAGGCAACTAGCCCTCCATCCCTTGGCAGAGCTGTGGGGCAGCTCCCTTCGCCGCTTTCCCTGGGGGTGATCGAGCCACCTGCCGCCTGCCCCCCAATTCTGAGACAGAAGAAGCTAGTTGCCCTCATTCCTACCCCCCAGACTCCCAGGAGGCTGCCTCCCGAGTCCTCTGCTGAAGGGCCAGGGGCTCAGGATGGGGACATTAGGGTCTTGCCTCCTACCCCCACCCCACGCTTGGGTGGCGATCATCCCAGACTCTCGTCCCGAAGTGGTTAGCTGGGAACTCCCCAATCCCCTCTGTGACTCATCCCCTTAAGCCCCTGGAATCCTGGCAGAGACCAGAGGAAACCGGATGTCTGTCGAATGAAGCAAGGCCCTTGGGGGCTCTTGGTTCACCTGCCCTTGCCCTTGCTCCTCCTCCCACACCCCCCCTCTCCAGACAGTGTCCCCTGGCTGTGGGGTTGGGCATCTGGGACACGCAGCTGCCCAGGCCCGGTTCACTGCCAGCCAGCGTGTGCGTGCTGCCCTGAGGGGAAGAAAAGCTGTGGGTGGCGAAGAAGAAGAAACTGCCCCAGCTTGGGACCCTACCACCACGCCATGTCGGCACTTGGAAGAAGCCTGGGAGTCTGCTCCAACCCTGGGACTGGGCCAGGGAGGGGAGTGCCTTGTCCAGGGTCAAGGGTCACAGAGCCAGAATTACACCCCCTGCCTCTGCCTGGGGTCAGAGAGCTCTCCACAGAGCGCTCTGACCAATCACACCCAAGGCTGTCATTTTCTGCCCCGTTTACTCTGGAGGTGCCAAGGAACAGAGGCATCTTTACTTGAGTGGGGGTGGCTCTTTGGGAGGACCCATCTCTGGGGCAGGGGTGCCCCCTGGTGGTCACGGCTGGTAGGGTCTCCACCTGCTGATCTGTTCCCATCCTGCCTCTGGTCCCCTGTCCTGCCTGCAGGAGAAGGCACTGGCCACCCCTACCCCCTCCACTTTCAGGCAAAATGCCTATGTTGCCACCTTGCACTGATGGAACCCAGCTTTGGCCCACCACAGGGCTGGGGTTAACAACGGGGGAGCCCGGAGACCCACATGAACAAACATGCCCCTGAAAACCCCCAGAGAACTCAGCCTGCCGTAGATGTGCCGAGCGAGCAGTCAGTCTACATTATCAGATGTACTCCTTTTAATAAGCCTATGAGGAGGGGGCTAGAACCATTTCCCCTTTTACAGAAGAGAAATCTGACCTCAGAAAGCTTAAGCGATTGCCAAGCAGCAGAACCCAGGTCTGCCCGGGGCCAAAGCCGTGAAGTCTTAACCGTGGACTCTCTTAACCGGTGTCCGGCCTCCCTCGCTCCTGACTAGGTCTGGCTGGCTCTTCACCTGCAGTCCAAGTGTGTCGGATGTCCGGTTCATAAAAACATGTTAATTCTAACCCGGGTAGCCAGAATGGCAAAAGGAGTCGACACCATATTTGAAGAAAACAGGCTGTTTCGCGGGGGTAGGGAAGCAGGGGATCGTCGCGCGGTCTCAAGGGCTGGGAGGGGGACAGGGAGTAGAGACCACAGCCAGCCAGTTTTCAGCTCACCGGGGGGAGAGAGCATGCTACCGGTCTGAGACGAGGAGGGAGCAGCCGCTTCCTCGAGGGGCTGCCGTCCCAGGAAGTGTCCGGCACCCGTCCCGCAGGGAGGAAATCTGAGTGTTAGCTGGAATTCTACGCCGGGCACCTTCCGGGACGCATTTGTCATTTCATTCTGTTCAGCCAAGCGGTGGGGCGTGGATTATTCTCGTTATAGACAAGGGGTGACCTCAGCGGAGCGAGGGGCCTTGCCCAAGGTCACAGTCAGCAGCAGAGCCGCTGTGGCTGCCACTCCATGACCCTCCTGTTCAGGCAGCTGTACTTCCAGGAAGACGGCTCAGTCCGGACTCCTGCCTAGCTCAGGGGAGAGGGGGGAGAGCGAGACCTTGTCGTGGTCCACTACGCACACAGGCCGAGCTGGGCCAAGGGTCTGGCTCCAGAGACCTCCAGCTGGCAGCTTCTGAGAGGCTTTCCCAGGTATTTCTCAATGTCCAGCGCTGGTCAGCAACTTCCCCTCACATTTCCTGTTTTCATCTGGCACTCGGCTCGGGGCATCTTTGTGCAGACGCTGGAGTAACGTTTTTTGTTGCGAACTTGGCCAGTGGGCCAAGATATGTACATCCTGAGTTAAGAATGGGTTTTCCATTTTGAAGTGGTTGGGAAAAGAATCAAAAGAATATTTCGTAACATTGAAATCACATGAAATTCAAATCCCAGGGTTCCCAAATAATTAGTTGACATATTGTTTATAGTCATTTTTAAGAAGGACGGAAGTGAGTAATTGGGACAGACCATATTGTTGATGGGAGAGACCTGGTTCTTCTTGCTGATGCCTGTGAAGAATCACAGGTCAGCAAATCTGTTAGCGTGCCATCGGAGTCCATTAGTGATCTGTCCCCACGGATGAGAATGGGCCTAGTTAAGGTGAGGGGGTGAAAGGCATAGGTTCAGGGCAAAGCAGGGTGGCGAAAGTAAGGGCAGCCATAGGCTGGGGTGGCAAGCCCCGGGGTGGCCCGAGGCCAGGTAGCCAGAGAGCAAGTCCTTTGTTCTGAGGACTTATACAGATGGCTGGATGGGAATAAAAAAGTTACATAGTGATTGATGGGTAAATGTGGTGCCAGCTTTCCTGGTGAGGGGAGGACATCACAACCCCAACTTACGTATATGTGGGGGGTCTATTAGCCCAAATCCTTATTTTGCTCCAGACCCCATTTGTTCATCTTCTTGTAAAACAGATATGTGACAGGAGGCAGTTAATTAAAGTTGGGGCAATTACCCATAAGTATTTATGGGCTCTTCTTTGGGCCCTGCGAAACCTCTCCTGCATTTCAGGCCTGAGATGCAAAGCACAGTTTCAAGGCTTTCTTTCCCAGATAGTGGAAACGCTACATAGAGTTTCACGGGCTCCCTCCTTCCCGGCTGCCACGGTGTTCCTTGTGGTGCTGGAACACCTGGCTCAGGACTGCCGAGTCAGCAGGTGAGGCACGCCTCCCTCCTGCTCCCTGCCTTGGTTTACTATTCATGCTACCTAAGTGCAAAATGCGATTTCTGGCCCCTAGGGTGCTCGCTGCTGGCTAGTAACAGCGGCACAGTCTTGGAGTTCTTCCTATGCTGTCTCCTGCCTCCAGGTGGTTCACAAGCCTAGAAAATGTGCTGTCTGGCCCTTTAAGGAAGTTTGCAAACTGTGAGCATGTGTGCAAGGAGACATGCAGAGATACCCTCTGCAGCGTGGCTTGTAAATGGGGGTTGCCCACCAAGGGGAACGGCTAAATGAACTGTGGTCCCTTCATACCCCATACGCCTCCTGCCACCCGCTGGCTGACACTCCAGGAGGAAGGGAGTTCGTGTTATTCCACTGTATTTTCAGTCCCTGGAACAGTGCTGGGCTTAGGTGTCAAGATAAGACCTGGAAACCAATGATGAGCAAAAAGAGCAAGTTACGTTCCTGCGACACATCACTTACAGAGAGTTAAAGACTCAAAACGTGACTATAGTTTGTAGTAAAAGTGTAAACACATAGACGGGAAGCTACCCACTGAATTCATCTGAACGGCTGCCTCTGGGGAAGGGAGGGAAGGGCCTGGGAAATGAATGGGACGGGCCTCCGACCATCTGTGATATTTTCTCATCGTTTAGTTGCTTGTGCTATTACAGTTGCCCCAACTTTTTGCCTTTGGCCCCCCGCCACCGTCACTCCCTCCAGTGACCCCCCTCCTTTGTTCATGTCCATGGGTCGTGTGTATAAGTTCTTTGGCTACTCCATTTCCTAGACTTGCTCTTAACATTCCCCTGTCTATTTTATAACTACCGATTTGTACTTCTTTTTTTTCTTTTTTTTATATCGATGTGTGAGAGACACATCAACCGGTTGCCTCTCGCAAGCCCCCAGCCGGGCACTTGGGCCACGACACAGGCTCGTTGTGCCCTGACTGGGAATTGAACCGGTGCTATAGGACGATCTGCAGGTGGCGACTGCTTGTGCCGGGCCTGGGGCCACTCAGGGGGAGGGTCGGGGCCGGGCTCAGCTGTTGCTTGTTTGAGCGGATTTCGGAAGGTCTGAAGCCTGCGCCTAGCCCAGCCCTTCATGTGGAAAAGCCTCTGTTACCAGCCTGGGTGGGCCCATAAGTTGGATGGGGAGGGCCCTTCGGTAATCGTCAGGGTGGGGCTTACCCTGTGAGCCAGGTTGATGGAGCCTGAGCTATGGTGCCACCGCACTGTGGCTCTGTGACAGGGAGGGTTCAGGAAAGGGACAATGGCCGCTGTCTGCAGTTCTGTCTGGGAGGAAGCTGTCCCCCAGCTCTCTCACCCTGATGCCAGACACTTCCGTTCCTCTCTGGGTGCCACTGGCGCCCCTGCAGCTGACGCCTCGGTGCTGGACCTCTGACAGGGTGAGTCTGAGTAAGTCTGTGTGTGGTGGGAGGCCCTTTAAGAGGAGATGCCTGAGAATCCTACGGCTTCTTCTGCCAACACAATCCCCACTGGTCTTTCCAGCCATTAGTCATGGGGAC